AAAAAACAGGATGGTGAATGAAACAAACAGTCCCACACAGACTATTTCTACCAACCTGCCCTCATAGATAAGTGTAAACCCTACGACTAAATTTATACTCTTACCAGCACACTGAGCAATAATGAATGGGATTCGGGAGGTAGATGTGCTAATATTTAATCTTAAACATAAACACAAACTGTCTACATGCAGAAAAACTGTGCCCAGGGGCCAGAACTGTAACTGGGGGAGAGTCATGAGACCATAGATGGATCCATTCTTCTTTATGTAGTAGGTGTCATCATTAGTTCCAAATGTTAATCACAAAATATCAATCATGTCATAAACAATCTTCAAGATAAAGATAAGATATTTAGTGTGTGCTTTTAGCTAAGAACAGTATCATGTGAACAACACTGGAACAAACTTGGATCATCTTGGTCTGATCAGCCCATATAACAGCAGCAAGCAGCTTAACAGTCACATGTGTTTCTAGACTAAGATAAGGACACAAGGTTAGACAGTAGGCAGCAGCTGTTTTAGTGGATAAGCGTTTGAAAATAAATATTAATTCATCTGAAAAGTTTGGCCATATTAGAAAAAAAACTATTTTTAGTTGAATTGCACTTAGTTTTTTTAAATATTTGATTCTGGAAATGATTGTTGTAGGCTTCTGTTCACAGTGTGACCTTTCCGATAACAAAACTCTGTAGCTCCAGCACTGTGTTAACATTTTGCTCGACTTTGTCATCCCTCTTGGAGCTTCCTCTCTCTCTCGGGTGTGACAGTCAGCTGTTTGTCAGAGGAGGTGCTGAGGTTCAGATAAACCCAACCTCCCGGTGTGCGCTGCCACACCACTGGAGTGCTTCTTAAAAATAGTTGGGAGCAGTCAGCCAGAGTGTTAACATCATTTTTCTGTGTGCGTGTGTTCTTTTAATGGAAGGTATGTTATCGTTGTTCCCATTAGCTAAGAGATAGCAGAGGTGTGATGCATCCAAAACACTCCAAAATGGATACACACCAATATGCAGTTCACACACAGCCACACATACAGACACAATTTAAAGAGGAGGAGAGGAGATGATGATAGGAAGTAAATGTTTGCCTGTACTCTTTCTGCATTTCATCATTGAGTCTCTGAGAGTTTATTGGTTCATTTTACAGTTTTAAATAGGCCTGCATTCATTATACGGACCACTAATAACATCTATCTAGTTTTTATACCTTCTCAAATATTGACTATACAGGAATTCAATTAAAATTTTCTGCATCAGTGTCTTGATTTTTTATATTTTTAATTATTTTCTCTTCTTCATATGTCTACATATAATTTGACACTTTAGAGATATTCTTCTTTTTCTTAAATATAGACATCTCCTTTTTCAAGCTAAGAAGAAATCCTTGTTTCTCTAGAGGCTAACGTGAGGTGATCACTTTTACTTGGTAAACTGTGATGACCTCACATTAGTCGACTTTCTGTGTGAGAAAATTTAGGAAAACAACTGCTTGTTGGGTGAGTAACGACAAAGCACCAAAAGTGGAAAAGAGTGTAATTATGCTTGAAGTTGTCTTTTTAGTTAAATTCTTTTAATTTTCTTTTAATTCCTTTATGAATAAGGTGACACAAACATGTATCACATCTCACAACTCCACAGCAAGTTTCTTACCACCACCATGTTTTTGGCCACATTTGCATGTATGTCATTTTGTCCCATGAACACAATAGCTAAAAAAGTTTTGAATTGATTCTGATAAAAGTTTATTGTGTAGAGTGGGGTCATGTTAATAATCCATTACAACTTGCCTTACATCCACTAAGGTCGTCACGGCCAGCTTGATGACTTATTGGTTGAAAATTGACAGAAAACCTTTTAGAAACTTAGGAACTATGATTCATCTTAGATTTAACCTCTGACCTCTCCTTCAAGGTCAATAAACTTACCTCAAGGTCAAAGGGATAGAGAACTATTTAAAATGAAAACAGGCTTTCAGACTGACGCAAACATGTTGGTATTGGATACTTTTTGTGTACATTACAGAAACAGGTTTCATCACGATTTAAATGCATAAAAATTTGAAGACATGTACAAAGTACTAATTTCTTTTGGAAAACAAAATAAACGTATACTATTTACTTAGCAAATCCATTTTCCCTACTATGTATCTATTGCTAAACATTTAAATTTGTCTAAACACATAAATAAAAAATAATAATAAACAATTATGCTCAAATGCATTTGTTTCACATCTTAAACTTATTAAATTACTTTTAAAAAGAACAGAGAAGGCAAAATGAATATACAGAAAATATAAAACTATTTGCATAAAAGAAAATAGTGTGCAGAGAGTCAGCTGCCATGGTGGAGGCTTGTGTTGTCAGAGTGCTTCTTAATCTGATTTATGATGACACTTAAATGAATTATTCGTACTTTTAACTGATGCAAAACAGGTGTAGGTTATAAGTTAAGGTATAAGTTAGTGCATAAATAAATGACAAAGAACACTAACATCGTGCAATTCATCTAGCAATGCACGGAAAATCTATAACAATACCAAAGTATCAATATGGTATGAAATCTCAGTCACATGTGCATGATTGTATTCTAGATTAGTTAAATATGGTCGCCTATTCAACAAACATGTGAGCAAAAACAAGGAAATAAACAAAAAATCAACAGTTCAAAAAGTTTAACAAGCAAATTTTCTATTTATTATTTTAAAAATCTGCAGAACTTTAATCTCCTGAAGCTATTTGGAACAAAATAAAGAGTTTTTGTATTTCAAAGGGTGTGCATGCTCTGTGAAGCATTAAAAGTTGATCTTTGATAAAAAGATCATGCGTTACAAGAAGTTTTTGGGGGATTTGTTGTTTTGTCCCATGGAGATTTTTATTTTTTAGGGCAAATGGTAAATGGCCTGTATTTATATAGCGCTTTACTAGTCCCTAAGGACCCCAAAGCGCTTTACATATCCAGTCATCCACCCATTCACACACAGGCGATGGCAGCTACATTGTAGCCACAGCTGCCCTGGGGCGCACTGACAGAGGCGAGGCTGCCGGACACTGGCGCCACCGGGCCGTCTGACCACCACCAGTAGGCAACGGGTGAAGTGTCTTGCCCAAGGACACAACGACCGAGACTGTCCGAGCCGGGGCTCGAACCGGCAACTTTCCGATTACAAGGCGAACTCCCAACTCTTGAGCCACGATCGCCCCAAGTAAACCCAGAAGTAAATGATCACTCTGCTTCATGTGACAAAAAGCCAGCAACTAGGTTTTTGGATTCCAGCTGAAAATGTGTCACAAGTTATTCCAACTTTTAGAATTTTTGAAGTGTAAATGCAATAAGGAAATAAAATATTCAATCGTTTAAGAATTAAAACGCTAGCAGTAGCCTTTAAGCAAACTACACTACAGTTACATTACATGTAATAACTTCCTCAGTTTCCTGTTCTTAGCTGATAGGCGTGGCCGTGCACCCATTGTGGTCTGTAGCCCAAGGTTCAAAATTTGATGTGTTGTGCTTTCAGAGATGTTCTTCTGCATACCTTGGTTGTAACAAGTGATTACTAGAGGTACTGTTGCCTTCCTATCAGTTCAAACAAGTCTGACTATTCTACGACCTCTAGAATTAACAAGAAATTCTGACCCAGATAACTGCTGCTTTCCTCTTTTTCTAACCATTCTCTGCAGACTGTAGAAATAGTTATCCCAGGTCATCAGACCACCCTGGCATCACAAGCATTCTACATTGAAAGTTATTTAAATGACCTTTTTCCCTCACTCTGATGATCTGTTTGAACAGAGGATCATCTGGACCATGTTCGCACGAGTGGCTGTGTAGGTATTTGCATCAACAAGCAGCTAAACAGGTGTACCTAATGAAGTGAGCAGTGAGCAGAGTTGCATGTTCGAACAATATCTGGTAATTTTAAAGCGAGAGACCTTATTTTATCTACCCACTCCATTCAAGAAAATCCCCTAACTGTGAAACTACATAATTAGTGGAGGATTTATGTGTTTGCATATCACAGACCGAATTTAAGAAAACGTCGATGAATTCACTGAAATGAAGCCGAATGTCATCACTTAATTTTTTAATGGCAGTTCAGCTGGTTCAAAACAAGAAAATTACCTTGAAAATTTCTGACATTTGGTGTAACGTTTATATCCTCTGGCTGTGCAGTGTTGTTCGCCACATTGCTTTAAGTGTCACATGGTATAACCACTGCTTTAGATATACTGAGGAAAAGACACGCTGATAAGAGCCTGGAGGAAGCCATGGTGCTTTTTATTCTATCACAAGTTCTCTGAAAAGAAGACACAGCTGCTAGAAAGTGTTTTCATGCTGATTAAAAAAAAAACCCAAGTGAAATTCTGTCCAACATTCTAACCCTTCAGTCATTCTGGGGTCATGAACTGAAGTCACATGTTGCATCTTAGCCTACTTTTTATTTTGAGCAAAGATGTTCACTTTTACTTTTTGATTATATTTGGCAAATTTCAGTTTCCATTAAAAACAAATAAGTAAATGAAATGAATGTAATTCACTGAAATCACAAAAACGAAAGACTTAAGAAACTGAAACCAGTTTGTGTTTATCTTCGGAAGAGTCTCAGTGCAGGAACTTAACCAGCGGTTTTCCAAAGAGATTCCATAATAAATCCTGTGGAATTATATGTCTGTGATTCCCTTTTCTTTGCAAGCTCCTTTGACCTGTGGAATTATACTTTAAGCCTAAGTCACTTACCAGAGCTTAAGAGAAGCGGAGAGATATATGTCGAGAGAGTGACATGAAGGAATGCAGGACTGGGTCTTTTAGCTATTGTGTCTTAATACAATATGTGACTTCCTTCAGTGCCAAACACCACAAACAAACACATGCACCTATATTTGAGAGTTGAATAGCAGGCAGCGAGGCACCAGGCCCACTTCCTCTGGAGATGTAGAAGGAGGAGAGGGGGAGAGAGGGGGAGAGAGTGAGAGAGAGAGAGGGAGAGAGAGAGGGGGGTATAAACTACAGCTTCACACACATTTCATTTCAGTTCAGATCTCTCTGGACACAAATTGCTCCAAACTGCTGGATTGACTCCTTTTTCACTCCCCTGAATCAACTTGACCTTCTCCATCGATCCGTCTTTGTGTCAGTTTCAACCTGTCTGTCCTGAAGTTTGTCGGGTTCATCAAGTTCACGCTGACATTCAGTGACTGAGGCTGAGCAGGAACGCTCACACTCACAGCTGGAGAGTGGCCGTCATTCATCACAGATCATCTGAATACGTGCATCTGTCAGCTGTCAAATCTGCTGCTCCTACCTCCTGAGGATCAACTCTGAAGAGGAGGAGTGCCTGGCTTACTAGCACCTCACCAACAGGAAGAAAGCATCCATCAGTTTAACCTCAGTCTACAATCATCAGGCTATCACTGGATTAGAAGTTTCCTTTCTCTGTATCCTAAATCGGGTAAAGTATCTGTATGTGACAGAGTTTTAGTTAATATCAGTTTAATATCAAAAGTGTAAGCATCTTTTTCTGTTTTTATGCATTCCAGTGTTAATAATGACCACATCAGTGCTAAAAATGACCGCAAAACCGCATTTTCAGACCCCAAAACCTTAAATAAGATCACAAAGAAGTGCCAGAAATAAAAGGTGTGTGTGTGTGCATGCCAGTGTGCATAAAGATAGAGAAATCTTTGAGTAAATTCTAAAATAATTAAGAAATTAAACTTCTTTTGTTACTTGAGTTTGGAATTTAGTTTGTCTCTAAATGAACGCCCATGATGTTGATGGATGTGGCAGAATTTTATCACGTTGACCTGTTAATACTTTCTATTCAGCTTATTATCGCATTGAAAACATCCTCATGTCTGACCGATGTCAATGATTCATCATTTATTATTGTAAACCAGCTCGAGAAAGAGGGGGCCTTTGTATTTGTGTGTTTGTGTGTGTGTGTCTGTGTGCCCATTATCAAGACAGGATGCAGAACAATACTGACTCCACATATACACACCCAGTCTCTCTCTCTCACACACACACAAAGAGAAACACACATGCATGCAAAGGTCAAGAGAAAGTCTATACAAGGAAGTAATATTGTTATTAATGATGCTGGGATCACTTGTGAAAGATATGAATGGGAGCACACAGACACACACAACACAGAGACACACACACACATGGTTTGTTCGAAGCTTCTGGGCTTTACAAAAACAGGAAGGGATGGGCATTTAATAAATAAGTTGCCAAAAAAGTTGTAATCTGATTTTAAACTTTTTTTTCTGGTCAGATTTTTAAGTTCATCTTCGTTTCTCATCTGAAATTAGTGCTTCTTGCATAACAACACGTCTGAAATAGACTTTTAATACAAGTTTAATATGAGTTCCAAGTTAGGGACAAAAACAGTCAGAGACATTTGCCCACTGGTTCGAGAAATGACATCAATCAAATGACAGAAGGGTGAGAAATTTGGCATGTAAAGCAGTCCCACTCCACCCAGAAATGCTCTTTATTGTTCCCCCTGTTTTGGAAGTCTGTACAGAGTCTGGTACTCATCAGAATCACATTTTGTGTAACATCAGAATCCATAATCCAAATACCTAGGTATGTCGTCATCAGTTACCTTGTCTGTGTTTCCTTTTTATTATCTTGTCATGTACGTATCTACACATACATGTATTTAAATAACAAAGATAAATGCAAAATCTCCTCAAACTTTAAAAATTGTGACACAAAATCTCATCCCAGGCAGTCAAATACTGCCACGTGTAATGCAAAAATAATTTAACAAATAATGAAATGAATTACTTTCTCAAGTAACTAAGTAATGTACTCTATGTTACATGTTACTTTTAAGAAAAGTAAAAAGTAATGTGAAATGTTTAACTTTTTTTAACCCCAACACACCCAGTCGAGTCCCAAGTGGGATAAATGTAGGTTTGCTCTGCGCCCACACAGCCCCACAGTTCACCCACATACTGCAAAATAACTCAAGAAGTGAAAGATATCAGGTCATATTCCAAGAATTTGAGGGTTTTGGTTTTTGTCTTTAAGGGTAAGTGCCTCTATTACGTAGAGACTTGAGTATTTAACAAGCAAAAGATTCTTGGTTCAAGCACAAGAGACATAAGACCTGATGGTTGTGTCAGGCCAGGTGCCTGGTGTGAAAATCTCCAGCATTGTGCGTTGATGCACATTGTAAATGAGGGAGTGCTTAAAGGAAGCACAGATTTTAATCAACATTCCATACCAGCTGGTGACAGTAATGCAACATGGGGTATATGTGGGTCCTACACTCTTGATCCTGGTACTGGTATGGAATGTGTGTACTTCTGGGCTCCATACCATTCGGTCCAGATGCCTAGTCCCCTACAGGCATTGGCATGGTACTGGGGCCCATAGTGGACTGCCCACTGTGGGACATGCAGGTCTGCCCACACTGGCCCCAAGGGGGCATGTTTGCTGGGAGGGAAGATTTGTATTCATACTGGTACAGACACAACCAAACATAGGAACAGACTGGATGTGTGTGTGTGTGTGTGTGTGTGTGTGTGTGTGTGTGTGTGTGTGTGTGTGGTAGCAGTGTTTACAGTAGATCTCTAGTTTTCCTTCCCCAGTGACAGGCGGAGGGGGAGTGTGGGAACAGAGAGGAAGCTAAACTAAACCATGGGCACAGACATTTTTATTAATGGGGTCGTGGCCGGGCTGGAGAGAGGCTCACACGTACACACACACACTGAAATGCACACACACACACACACACACACACACACACACACACACACACACACACACACACACAGCAACAGGCAGTCTATTCCTCAATGGTTTATCCACTCATCAACTAAGGTTTTTTGAGCAAGAGAATGGAAAAAAGTTAGTAATTGCACCAAATTTGGAATTTTAGAAGGTGCACTAATACTCCATGAATAGAAAACAAGGAGAAGCACACACAGTGAGATATTTTAAGTAACACAGTTTGCCCAATCCCCAAATGAAAGAAAATAATACCAGAAGAATAACCCCAGCTTTTTGTCCCCAGCCAACCATAAAACATTGTGCTTTAAAGGCAGCATGCATACAGCATAATCACTGTAGCTGGAGAATATTTCTAAATGTTTTGTGGTTAATCACGAATTTATGAGAAGTGCAAATGAATATCATACAAAGATATAAAACATTTTTCTAAAGATTGCCCCAAGTTATTCTCAAGATATGTGTTTAGCCCACCTGACCATAACATACATGACAAAATCTTCCACTGAAATATTTCAAGTCTTTTAGCTCTCCAGATTAAAACACTACAAAGTGATATTCTATTCTCAGTATTTCTCCTGGATGAATTATTTAAGTTGAAATATTTTGAAAAATATTTTAAATCCGCTTTATATACAGAATGAGGAAATGTATATATATATATTGAATATACGACTGTTATACTATAATTTTAGTCATTACATGGCATTCAGTTATGCGTTTCACATTTCTTCACATTCATAGCCCTAAAATCTATTTATAAACAAGATGAAATGTTTTTTTAAAGGAAGATTAAAAAATTGCGCCAAACAAATGTTAACAGTTGATGTTAATTTAATAGATTTTCATGCTTTTTTCTAAGCTAAAGACATTTTCTCACTTGTACATTCCCTGCTTTTGTTGAAAAGCATTCTCATGAAGTAATAAAAAAGAAGCTACATCTCCATAAATGTAGGAAGTCCTAAAATCTATTGAAAACATAAAATTCTGTCTGATTCAGGGAGGATTATTCTTGGTACCTCATAGATTTTTTATTAAACTTTGTTATAAAATTAGTTTGTAAGATGTGCCTGAATGCATCATGTGACCCACCTGTTACTCATGCAAACCTTCCCATGCTCTTTGTTGGTGTGTTCAGGTGGATATTGCCCAGCTCACAGTTTAGCAGTGAGTAAGGAATTTGAGTTGTAATCAGTCATGGCAGACTGGAGCCTACTGGGAAACTTCCTGGAGGAAGTACAGGAGCACTCTACCTCTGTTGGCAAGGTAACATGCAAACACAGACATGTATATGTACACACACATTGCATACTAACACACAAGACTGGTCCGACATCCTCTGTTCATGACAGACAAACATATACACTCAAAATAGAACATTCATGTATTTCTAAATCATCCTGTTTATTTTGTGTATCCCGACTCGTGGTTTGTGGTTTCAGAGTCTTGTAACACTAGAATGAAATATCATACAAACATCTGTTAGTTTAACCATTCGAAACTCAACTCAACAAGTCTTAAAAGAAACCAAAAACAAATAACTTCACTTTCAGAGATTTTATGGAACTAATGTTACTTACAACTGTAACGATAGTAACCTCTGGTTTTCAGTGCATGTCCATTGTTGTAAAATGTGTGCATGTACTGTGTGCGTCCTCTTTCTTCAGAGAAGCTAAGTAGTAGTAGTCCTCAAAGTAAGTTGTTTACAGAACTGTTGGCAAAGCTTAGGAATCCAGGAGCACAATTTATAAACCAAGATAACAAATTTAGACATGGCACAAGGTCAAGAGGACTGGAATTCACGTTCTTTGTGGGACTGTTTCTTTTAAATCTTTGTTTCACTCGCTTGGTTAGGTTTAGGAAATGATGACGCTCTTGGTTTTAACCCCCCCCCCAATAAAAATTACATATCATTGAACTTGTGAGAAGGCTCAGTTTTCTAGTTTAGATTCTTTCTTAAATAACTAATTGTAATGGTCAATTCAATCAGTCAGCACTTTGTGTACTTTTTCTAAGGCATTTTTAAATCTGTTTAGAAGTACTACAAAGATAACCAGCTCCTAAAGTATGTAATAACTTTAGTTCAGGGTGGCCATGAAGTCAGTACTGGCAGACCAGCTATTCTCACTGCCAGCCAGCTGATGGCTCAGTTAGAAGTTGTCAAGGCATCCAACTGGCAAACCTCATACAGGGAAAACTATTTAAATGCCACTTTACAATCCAGCTAAACTCCGAGTCCTCCTTTCATGGTGCACCCGACCTAATCACTGACCTATTGTTCTCACTGCTCTGTGCAGGGTCTTGCTATTGCTCTCCCTGCTTGTCCATGGATGGAGGTGGAGTTTCCATATCATAAATATACTACCAAACACAAATAACTGCAGATGAAAATAACAATTTTCATTCATTATAGTGGCCCTCCCCTCTGGGCTGGAGTAACCTTTAAGAGCTGTTTATACCTTTATTGTTTTAAAAAGGGTAAAAATGGGAATGTCCACAGTCTAGACTTTGATTAAAGGATATTTTAATTGAAGCAATTCAGCAGAAACAAATAATTATAGTAACACTTAAATTACACTTGTCCAATTAACCTACTCTGAGCTAATGCTGATTTTGTTCTAATCTTTGGAAGAAGAAGAAGACTGGAGGTCATAATTGCTTCATGTTTTTTCTCCACAGGTGTGGCTGACCATCCTGTTTATCTTCCGAATCCTTGTTCTCGGGACAGCAGCTGAGTCATCGTGGGGAGATGAACAGGAAGATTTTAACTGTGACACTGAACAGCCAGGCTGTGAGAACGTCTGTTATGACCGAGCCTTCCCCATAGCACACATACGATACTGGGTAATGCATTGGCAGTCAAAGATTATCTTTTTGTTTTAACCAACTGAAATCAAAGATCATAAAGAAGTCAGCCAATCCATCTTAAAGCTTGACATTTTATTAGAAATATATTAGAGTTACTCTATCACATCAACCAAAAGAACTTCTTTATACCTGTTGATGATTTTTAAACATTTTCTAAAACTGTAAATACAATATGAACTCTAATTAGTCAGTTGGAATATATCTGTGTCTGTACATCCCTGTTCATTCATCAAACATTTCAGGCATCATACCATAAGTCTTTATGGTATGATGCATACCATAAAGACTTGAATGGTATGAAAGGTTGAGTTTCCAATTACAACGTAAGTTATAACATAGTCGTTGCAGTCGTTGAAGAAAAAGATTTAATTTTAAATCTATCACGTGTTAAGATTGGTTTGCCACCTTCCTTACAGCTATTTACTTCCATTTATTTCAGTGCAGTGTGAAAAATAAATTGCAGTCACTTGATGTCCTCAAGGGATTAATTATGGTGAAATGTTTCCATTTCATACAGGCTATTCAATGAGATTATCTATGCTTGCAGCCGAGAGCAAGGGCTGCTTTAAAAATGCCTCCCTGCAAATGAATCCTCCCCCCCCCCCCCCCCCCCCACACACACACACACAACAACAGTCAGATCAAACAATAAAACTCTTATCAAAATCTCAGAACCAAAAAAAACGGAAACTCATTTCCCAAGAAATGTGGCAACACTTTGGGTTGATGCATACCATAAAGACTTGAATGGTATGAAAGGTTGAGTTTCCAATTACAACGTAGGTTATAACATAGATTTCCAGGTCTATCAAGCTTAAATCTTTGCATTCTACTGCATTAGTCTGACCTAAATTTAACAGCTTCCTAGAAAATGAATAATCTTCAATGGTGGAAGTTAAACTCTTGCAGATATCAGATTAGTGAGTTAATCTTTTAATTTTGCATCACTATCCTTTGTGTAAACCTAAAAAAATAAATGTTCAAGTAATATGTTCAAGCAGGCTGCAAAGCCTGCAGTGGCAGCTGCCCCAGTTTGTCCCCCTGAGTACAGACTAATACTCAGGACTGAGCCATAGCTTCAGTTCAAAAGCCCTATTTAAAAAGGAGAGCGCCACCTGTTGCTGTTCAAGCACTCAACTTCTAGTTGAGTCTTTCTGTCAAAGACTGCAGGAAAATAGGATCCAAATGCATTCTCCAAATGAGACGGGTTTGAAGTGAGCAAAACCTTTCTTGTGGCTGATAATAAAACAGATCATAATATAACAAAGTCCAGAAACACAGCAGACAACAGAAGGGAACACACTAGAAACTATATAGACATGGGGGACGTGGAAAATGGGTAAAAAGAGACAGCTGAAATGAATCAGGAGGACTTGACACAAGGAAGTAAAATTAAAAGCAAGGTACAAGCAAGAACAGATTATCAGATAAAAGAAGATTTAAGGGGAAGAAAGAGAGAAACAAAGAACTAAGACACTAAGAAACATGGCAATCAATTATAACGGAGAACAAATTACAACATCAATTATGATTCTAAAGTTCATGAAAACACATAACTGGGCTAATGGGCCAGAACAATGACACATCTCTTGCTTTTCACACTTACAATCACTGATGCCTGATCTGCTCTGGATGAGAGTTTCGTTGTTTCTCTCCCCACCTAAATTGTTTAAAGTATAAAGTCCTGGGAGTCCATACTGAGAAATATCTCACACTGCTGCAGATGAAAATAACAACTTTTGTTTTACTTTTGATTATAAATCTTATTCATGTCTTTCTAGGTGCTCCAAATTGTGTTTGTATCCACTCCCAGTCTGATCTACATGGGCCACGCTATGCACACTGTCCGCAGAGAGGAGAAAAGAAGGAACAGGGAGGAGGAGGGAAGAGAGGAGGGAGGGGGAGAAGAAGACCCAGGAGGAGGTGAAGGAGGAGGTGGAGGTGCAGAGAAACAAGAGAGGAAAGGGGAACGAGATGGAAACGAAAAAAATGAAAGTCACTCAGCAGGTCGAATTCGCCTGAGGGGAGCGCTGCTGCAGACATATGTTCTGAGTATACTGATACGCAGCATCATGGAGGTAAATGTCACCATTTCTGCCTTTAACTTAAACATAACTTGATAGCAGGTCAAGATTTCAAATCTGTCTAGTTCAAGCTCATGTCTGTCCTCCAAAGGCTGTAGGTGGGTCTGAAATGGGAAGAGAAGCAAATTAATGAAAAATTGCATTGCAGAGTTTGGACCAAATTGCTCATGAAAGTTTAGGATTTGTAAACATTAAAGGACTCGTATTTGTATTGTGCCTAAAACATGATGTCTACCTGTAAAAAAAAACAACAAAAAAACCTGTCCTTCCATCCAGGTGGTATTTCTGTGTCTTCAGTACTTCCTGTATGGAATCTTTCTCAATCCTCTGTACGTCTGCAAGGTAAAAATCAGACATAATTTTGATTTCACTCTTTGCTGTTAACCACAATATTTGGGCCTATAACAGTAATTCTCTTGTTCCTTTGCTCTTTTAGGCATGGCCATGTCCACATCCAGTTAACTGCTATGTCTCCAGACCTACAGAAAAAAATGTCTTTATAGTGTTCATGTTGGTCGTGTCAGCTGTCTCTCTGGTCCTCAGTGTGCTTGAACTACATCACCTGGCATGGAAACATTGTTGCAGGTCAGAAATTCATTGTATAGTTTTTTAGTTAGAAAAGGTTTTTACATGACGACATAGACAAACGAATTCAGAATATTCTTTTGAACTATGATGATAATTGATGATTAGTTTTTAGGTAATTAATGATTTTATTTAATGATTGTTATGTTTATTTCTTATTTAAGAAGCTTAAAGTTGATAAAGTTACTAAGACCTATTTGAGCATTTAGTCATTAACAAAGATGTAATTTGTTGCCAGTTTGCACAAACAAAAATAGTGGTGAATTATGTAACAGTTTATTTCATATCAGGTACGACTGTGTTAATCTGTTGTTTTGTGACCCCCAAAGTGGCCAGAAAAAAGTGGAGTTTTAACTAGACAAAACTCCACTAACTCCACTAAAACTCCACTAAAAATGAAAAAATAAAGGTGGCTTTCTTTCTGAAGAGTAAGAGTAAATACTGCAATGCGGTAATAATATCCTAATATGTTACTAGACACAGGTTATTCTCCTGTATTCAGTCTAAACCTGATTAAAGAAAGAGATAAAGATAACAATTGCTGATGATTCAGATTTTTGGTCAACAGTGAGACGTATTCATATGGATTTTAAAGTCTTGTAAAATTAAACAATGCAACTTTCTCACGAAATTTCATTTCCCTCAAGAGATTCGATTCCAATAACAATTTTGAGCCTTCAGTGATTCAGATGTACTTCCTGGAATTTACCATTAGAACAAATGGAATGAGGAAAACAGGGAATGCTTTCCACTTTGTGGTAGTGAATTCTTAAAGAAGTGTTCACAGCGGGCAGCACGGTATGTTGTGGTTGGCAGCATAACTTGAAATCTTACATTTTCCCACTGGTTCACTCTGTTTATTGCAGGCGATTCTTGTGCTCTACAAAAGCCAACAAAGCAGCCAACACCTCTCTGAGCCGACAGCTCTCTTTGTCTCCTCCACCACCATCGACACCACCCCCAGATTTCAACCAGTGCGTGACTGGCTCCACACACTTCCTACCCCTCCCCTTCCCCAACCACCGACTAGCAAACCAACAAAACTCTGAAAACATGGCTACCGAGCAGAACAAAATGGCAGCCGCAGTGGAAGAGGTAAACTTCCTCCAAATGAGCTGCTATTCGCATGGATGGCAGAAGACCAATGACGGTCAGATCCAAGATGGGAGATACCTGAGACCCGATGCTAACTGCTATACCCCCGAGAGCAGGGACGTCGGCTGTGTTCAGATCCAAAATGGTGGCCCAGACGTGCTGCTGCATAAGGACAAGCGAAGATACAGCAAAGCCAGCGGAACGAGCAGCCGAACTAGAGCAGATGACCTCGCAGTTTAGAAAAAAAATAAAAAAAATAGATAATAGATTTACAAACCTGCTGAAAAAAACCACACATGCATAAAAGACAATCTAAAGCTGAATAAGTCCGTTCACCTTAGCTTTCATAACATGATTCATTTTATCTAAGGAATCATGCAAATGATGAATAATTCCTTTTATCTTCTTCCTTCCAACATTATACGGCTCCTAATGACTTAAACGATGGTCTTTACCCAACATCTGAGTAATCGCCCTGCACTAGGGATTGAACAACTGGGCAGCAATGTCTGGAGTTGTGGTGCTACACAGATTGCTAAATCCATCAAGAATAACTGGATTGTGGCTTCTTCTTGAACTGAAACAAACATGCACCTGAAGCTTGCACTGTTTATATGCTGAGACTTAAGTCACCAAAAAGGCCATAAAAGGTGAAAAAAAAAACACAGTTTGGGTGACACCATTGAGGGAGTCTGCACTGTAGAGCATAGATGTCTTATTCTTTTCTTTATTTACTGGTGTGACTCAGTTGGGCACAAATTAATTCATGACTTTAGTCACAAGCATGCTGACAAAGCCTTTTTTGAGAACAGCAGCAGTGACTGTATCTGAAAACTTTTCAAAAACATGCTCTTTGTGATTTTTATCTCCTGACTAACAGCAGCTTGTGCAGGCTAGAAGAGATCTGGTCCAAGTCACAGCTGTCTTAATAGTACTAATGTGTTTCAGGACCTTAAAAGGCCCAAATGGAAAAGCTAAAAAATGCACTAAAATCCTGACTGTGACGTATTTGTTATATTTCAAAGCCCAAAGAAAAAGGCATGAGGCACATTCATTTAAAGCTTTATTTTTAACATCATGTAAAAGCAAACACCTCTTAAATATACATTTTTCTGAGATTTTACTCCCAAAATTTGTCGCCTATCATTGACGATAAACTTAAGATAGAGATGAAGATTTCCTCCAATGCTAGTGCATTTACCTGCTTGCCAGGTATTTCACTTAAACCTATAACAAACTTACACTGTGTTTATTTCACTGTTACTTCTTCACATTTTTTTTGCAGAAATGTTTATTCTAGCTCACCTGCTCTATAATCAGTTGAATTTCGTTCTTACTAGGTGCCATTTGAATTAAATGAGACTTTAAAACAATACATTTACATTTCAGTATCACATAAATATTGCATGAGCAGTATTTTTTATAGTTCTTGCTGGTTTACAGTCATTGAGTGTGCCCAGGAAGTACAAATTTGAGCCTCATGTCTTTGGAAGTACCAGCACTGGACACACTGGGGACTTCTATGCTACCTGTAGACTGAGCCTAAACTCTGTGGCTTATTGGCTGGACTTATGACTGACTCATTTAACATTTTGCACTGGAAATTTACGATGTGATTTTGTGAATTTTTTTCTTGTTTGAACTGCGCTCTGTTTTCAGCCACATTTGATACCGTGTAGATTATCTTTTCACACCAGCATGTCTTTTATAATTTCTTCTCAAAGATTTCTTGCATTTCCTAAAATATGACAGTCTGGATGATACTGATGGGTTTCTAGTACATTATATTATGGTCATTTTAGCTATGAACACACATAGAATTAAGCATGGGACTACTACTATGTCTAGCATAATGTATATGATGTGTTTTGTTTCAAATTGTTCGTAATGTCATTGGACACACACACAAAAAAGGTTGGGTATTAAGCAGTGACCAATGCTGTTAATGACAATTTAAATTTGTTTTATATTTATTATTACACTTAAATAATGTGAATACTTTATACATTTTGAAAATAAATGCAACATATGCAAACCATTAGAGTTTGTGCTTGGAACCACAATAGCCAGAAACTGTTCGTGTTCATGCAGCAACTATGTGGACTAGTTCTGCAGGATATTATGTGGAAAGTTAAGGCCTGTTTGCTACAAAGCATCATAGACTGTATATACACACATGATGCTTTCAGTCAGGAATGCAAATTGCAGCCTCAGAGTCTTTGAAGACTCAGAGTTGCTTGACATGTTGATTTTTTTTTTCTTAGAGCCATAGGCAGCCATATTTGGAGCTGGGAACATCCTGCATTCATAAACTGTACTGGTGCAACATGAAGACAGCAATACCTGCTGATTAGCGCTGAAATTAGAATTTCACCCACAGAATCTGAAGCACACACTTTTATCCCTCACAGCAGGCCATATTATTTGTCAGGTAATTCCATTGCATCTGCAAAAATGCTAACAAAAGCTACAATTAAAATATTAAGCCTTAAAAAAATCCGTGTTGTGAGTTGTAAAAGAAATCCAAGAAAGAAGGAGTTCTATGTAGAACGGTGGCTGTAAATATGTTTTTTTTCTTCTGTTAATGTAAATTTGGTTATTTTAACATAGTCTCGAATAGACATTTAAGGAAATGGAGTTATTGGTACTTCCAGACCTGAAGGTCGATGTTTGTTCAATATCTCAAGCAACACATCACCACACATCTGTTGAGCTTTTGTAATAAAATTTAAATCAGCAGACAAGCAGAAAGAACAGTCATCTGAGCACCAAGGATTCCAGTGTTGTGTTGTTACTATGCAGGAAAAGTTAAATGTATAAATACACAAGTAAAGTACTTTAATAGTATCTAATAGTATACTTAGACTAGTCTATGTGTTTCTAACTGTAACTGCACTTAATACTGCTAAGTTCACACAAATTGATAATATGTGCACACAGTTTGCTTGGTAGAGAAATGACCCGTCATTATGACAGTGTAATCTATCTGCCATCATTATGGCACATGTTTTCACTTTGGGCCAGCAGACTTGATTTCTTCCCATGAAAGACAGAACAGTAACGATGGACAAAACAGGCATCAAGATACATGAGAAATGCTAGATAGTTTAAGGAAGGGGCACTTTTATACATTTGTCCTGATTCCCATGGCCAACTTCCAGCATGGACAGGAGCTGATTGGAAAATTCCCATTAAGGTCATTTAAGGTCCAGGAATGTTTGGGAACTGCAAAAAAGAAGAGCTTCATGTTTTCTTTTCCCCTCTCTTCTCTTGTCCCATCTGTGGCAGCCATGTTTAATCTGTGGTAAGTTGTTTAACTTCAAGATATCAAGGCTCAGCTTATTATCTAAATATTAGATAAATATATGTCCTTTTTAATAGTATACTAGTACTACTTATAATAATAATAATAATAATAACAAATAAAGACCAATTAAATAAAAAATATAACCACGCCACAGCTAGAAGTGAAAGTAGATGCTGTAAGCTGTTACTTATAACAAACTTGTAGCATTACAATGATGCAACATGCAGTCACAAAACTGCACAGGTGTGTAGTTGGGAAACTGCTGAAATCAAATCCAAGTTAAGTTATGAATACAGGTTCCTCTTTACAGTTAACTCACTGTGGTGTGATCCCATCACAAGAGGTTCTTGTGAGAGATGTAAAGCAATAAATGACCATTATGAACATCATCATTATATTGTATTTCAAAGGAATTGTTAAATAATGTTAGATGAGTAATTAATAAATCACAAGTCACTGGGAGGGTAAAAGTCTTGCTTCTGGGTTGTAGAAGCATATTGAAGGGCACTTAAGTCCCATTTAATAAGCATTGTGAGCTTCATTATATGAAATAGATTTTTTTAGCTGTTTTTGTTGTTTGTTTGCTTTTGTTATCTTTTGGTAGTAAAGTTTGCCAACCTTCTGCTCTGGGAGATAGTGGAGCTGGAAAACAGTGGAGAGACAGCATCCCCATCTGGTGAAACAGGGTAATTTATGAGAGATATTAAATGGCACTTTTTAACCACTGACATGATGGTTTAGTGAATTCCAGAATGTATCACACACTGTCAGTCTGGATATGGTTTAGGAGTCCAGACCATAGTGCCTAGTGGCTCATTAAGTTTTTGATAATAGAAAGTGGGACTAAACTTTAACTCCTTTAACTTTAACTTAACTTTAACACCTCTCTGGGCACTGAGCAAAAGATAGACATTTATATTAAATAGCAAAAATAAAGTGAGTCTAACGAGATAATGCCTGTGCCTCAAAAATTTAGCTTGCAGTTTGGTATTCCTTTGACATAAAAAGTGTGAAAACTAATGGCATTTCATCACATTTCAGTATTTTTGCAGTTATAGTTATATGTTTAATGTGTTGAATACAAAAATAACTCAAACTAAATTCTGTCTTCATCTTTTTATTTGTCTTCATATACATAGAAGGAAGAAAATCACAGTTGTCAAGAGTGTCAAATTTTAAAATGGATAGTTTGCTTTAAATGTTGTGTTTGTCCTGATCATCCTGGAGAAGTTTGTGGAAAAGGAATTTAGACATTCATACGTGGTAATTGTTGTTGCATAACAACGGTGAATGTACACAAAGATGTCTGCATCGCCCCTGCTGTTGGATGATCCTGCTGTTCTTTGATGGCCGATATTATGCTTGTGCAATGATTGATTGGTCAGGCAGGTATGTAACTGCTGAAGAGGCTGCTCAAGAAAAATGGTGTGAACCAGGTAACAGTACCTTATCAGAAGAGCTATCGGCAAAGTCCAGAAATCATTCATAACATAAAATAATGGTTTTTTTTATAACTCATTAGCTTTCTACAAAATGTGATTTATGTTGTTATACAACAGTGCTAATGACCAGCTTAACTAAATACATTTTTTTTGTCCATTCTTTATTGCTAATATGTGATTTAGTGGATTGGACCTATTCTTCACTATATGTCAGAGTCAGTCCCATTGTTACATTCTTCAAATTTGTAATCAGCAAAACGCAAAATAGAATAGAACAGAGAATAGAATAATCCTTTAATTGTCCCACAAGGAGAAATTTGGGTGTAACAGCAGCAAGAAAGACACATATACAAACAAACAGTACACAAGACACAGAACAGAAACATACATAATTTTTACATATTTACATCAAGGACAATGGTTACCAAAAACTGAGTACCATACTGTTATTAAATTAAATTAAATTAAATACAGATAAGGGGCAAACCCTGGTTATAGTGTGAATCGG